AGCAGCTGCACAGCGGCTCAGGTCCGGCAAAGGCGAAGCTCCCAGCCACCACTGTTTGGGCCCCAACAGCAGAAGAGGGTGCCAGATCAGCACCACCCCAGTTCCTCTCCCTGCTTCCCCAGGCCGCCTCACGCTCAGCTCCTTGCCTGTGAGGAACCCCACGACATCTAGGGCAGAAATGTGCTCCACAAGGTCTGAGGAAGTCGGGTCACACGGGGTGACACCCAGCTCCCAACGTGTAGGTGGGATTAGACAGGAGGCCAGGGGGCTCTGAGAAACGGGCAACTGCACGGGACAACCCTGGGGTCCCTCACCCGCTGCAGGCAGACCCAAGCTCCAAAGGAGAAACAGCTGGAAGTTCAGAGCACCATCAGTAATAATCACAAAAAAACAAGAACCAAACCAACCAAGAAATCCCCACTGTCGGTGGCTTGCCTCTGTGTCTCTAGCACTCAGGATGCTGAACTAAGAGGGCTGCCATGAGTTCAAGGCCAGCCTGGGATACAAAGTGAGGCCTTATCTTAAAAAGCAAACAACAACCCCCCCCAAATCTCTAATTCTGAAGGCTACACAGCTGAGCAATCTTTCTTTCCCCCTCCGCTCCTCTGCCCTCCCCTCTCCTCTCCTTCTGAGCCAGGGTCTCACTACGCAGTTTGGGCTGGCCTTGTGCTCACTTTTGTAGCCACCAGGCCAGTCTCAAACTTACAGCAATCCTCCTGTTTCAACCTCCCCAGTTCTGGGATTACAGGCGTGCGCCACCACACCTGGTTTGAGCAATCTATTTTTTACTTTTAGTCTCCTCCGAGCTTTGTCACGGATGTCATGTTGAAATCACCGACCTTTCTCTTGGGCCGCATAGGGGTTTGGCATCGAACCTGCTGGCATTGGAGTGCCCTGAACACCACCCTTAGGTCACATAAACACTGTCACTTTCTTTTTTTTGAACTCAGGCCCTTGTGCTTGCCAGGCAAGCGCTTATTCTACTGAGCCATCTCCCCGGCCCCAACACTGTCACTTTCTGAGCATGTGCTCCACCAGGCCTGTACAGCCCTGAGCCCTCCCTCTGGTCCCTCCCCCATCCTGCTGTCCCCACACTCCTGAGTGCCTCACAGATCGCCTCTTTTGCAAAGCACCTGTTCAGTGATCAGCCTAAGCACAGCAGGGGAAGCAGGCCTGGCTCACTAACGGCGCGTGTGGTAACTTTCCAAGTGTACGTAATAATCCAAATAACCACACAGGCAGAAAAACGGGTTACACCCTGTTCCTCATTGTGTAGGGCTGTTTGCTGTGTAGTTCTGGCTGGCCTTGAACTCTATGAAGCCCAGGGTGGCCTGAAACTCACGACACTCTCCTTGCCTCAGCCTCCGAAGTGCTGGGATTACA